CCTCAAAATCATCATCACTGTCAACGAGTTACTTCGACATAGATGCCAAATTAACACATATTTTTTTCGATTTCTTCATTGTTTTAACCTCTTTAACTCGTTTTTTACCTTTCTTTTGCTTCTTGTTCTGTTCCTCATTGTTATTCTCCTCATTGTTCTGCTCCCCTGATATTTGTGAGATTCCCAAACTAAAACTTGGAACTTCATCCATAGAAGTAGAAGACAAAACTTGATGCTTCTTTCGACTTCTTCTATAAACTTTTGGATTCGAAGTATCAATATCCCTCATTAGATGCGGACTTCTTCTAAGAGATTTTCCATTACCTTCTTCCATTAAAATTTGTGCAGAAAAATGGAGAAAAAAGAACAAAAACCCTATTTTTTTGAACAGACGAGGAGAAGGAGAAAGAAAAAGAAAAGAGCGAGAGAGGATCTGACTTATGAGCAGATACATTTTTACTTGGTTTAAAAATTGTATAAAAAAGGAATAAATGTGTTCTAATTTTTTTTTAAAGTTAATATAGCTAAAAGTTGACAAAAATGGTCATAAATAAAAAGTATACTTAAAATTGATAATTATAAAATAAAAGGTCTTTGTTTGTATAATTTTTCCTCATACTTATTACTTACATGATGATGTGAAATGAGAAGTGAAGAATTCAAAATCGTAAGATAAAAACCTGAAACATGAGAAAAATAAATAAGAATTAATAATTAGCAAAAACAAATCAAGAAAAAGATATATATTAAAGAAAAACAAATATAAAAAATATCTAAAATAAATACAGAGGACAAAAAATAAAAAAATGATAATAGACTAAGATATATATAAATTTAATGAAGTTAGCTATTCATATTCCTAACTAAAGAGATTCCATACATCTTTGTATCATTCAATTTAATTTAATTAAATATATGTCTAGAAAACTGATAAATATCTTGATGCTTAGAAAATTAATTTTGATGCTTAGAAAACTGAAAATGATTAATAGTCATGTTGGAGGAGGTATAAATCATAACTAATGATTAAAAAATCAATTTTTCTATTGAATTAATACTTAATAATTAATTAATATAAATACTTTACAATATTTCAATTTAGTATAGGGGTAAAAAGATAATTCAACTTTGTACATGTTTCCACTTTAATTATGATATGATTAGTGTATCTACCATTGCTTTTGATAGAATTTCTCAGCTTGTGCACTTCTGGAATGAGCAAAATATGCTGAGAGCGTAACTCAGGAACTTATTTTATGTTGGTGTCAAGAAGCACCAACATTTTTTTGTAAATATTAGTGCAATGTAGTCATTATTCGAGGTCCATATAAATGTTGGAGTTCACTCTTGTTTATAATGTATGATGTACATAGCTTTGCCCAGTTCTTGATTTTTAGTTTGCCACAAAGAAAATGATGTGTACTACCCCATTGGGCTATGAGAATATAAGAGGAGTCTCAACCTTCAACCACACCATTTCATGGTTCTGCTTGTACTTAATAGGATTACCAAATATGCTATAAGCTTCCAAAGATTGAAAGTTTCCACAGCTCCATATAGTGTTTATGACCTTTTGTGTTAGCTATGACAGGTTAAACTAAACTATGTTATTGTGAACTATATACCATCCATGTACATAACTAAAATCCTAAAAGACATGACATGCTTATCCTCCCAAACAATCAACATTGAAATATTGGTTCAAGAAATTCCATGCTGCAAGGTAAAGAAACAAAGAAATATCCCTATTCTTCCAGCTCTTCATTCTTTGCTGCCCATTTCTCTATTCCTTCAGCTTACACACCAGGCAAATGGCAATAAGTTCAATGAAATAACCATAAGCTTCACTTGTGAAGCCCCAGTGTCCCATTGGGACATTTCAAGAGAGAGAGAGGTGGGGAATGGGCCACAAGGCAACCGAATCACAGAACCTCGGGTAAAGGTATGCAGGTTGTGTCGTCTTTAAGCTGTTCATACAGGAGCAGGTATCCCACCTGGTATTTTATCACTTTTGCGAGAAGTATGGGTGTTCTAGAGCCTCATCTACACTTGGTCGATCTTCCTGGAATGAAGATGTAGTTGTAGAATTCAGAATGAAATACTAATTTTAGAACACAAACACAAATGTAGGTATTAGCATCGACTGTTTCAAGGCAGCTTACAGGATTCCATTGTAATAGTTCACGTACTAGCCGCAGTGCCCATATGTTCGGGAACCTGCAGCAATCAAAAATTATTTTCAGAGAGCTAGCAATTTGAAACTTTGTTGCGTCTCATAGATTGTCCTTCTGAAAAAAGGAAAGAGGGCCTCAGGATTCCGGTAGGGAATGTGCAGTACAGATATGAATACGAACCCTATCTTCAGAGGATCCCTGTTTTTAATTTGATGAGAAAAGAACTCTTCAGAGCATTTCCAAGGAGCTGGTGAAGCAGAGCCCTGAATGAAGAAATAGGAACTTAGAAATCAAAACTAATGAGTCCATAGCTCTAAACCCTGAAACTAATCATCATTCCTATCTATAAAGATTATCTCAGAAATAAAAACAGGTAGTAATAATATTTAGTGGCATACATCAAAAGCAATAAAATTGAATAAGCTCTTGGAAAGATGCGAAGGAGATGAACTAAGAATCAAATATCGCAAAAAAAAATAAAATTGGAAAAAAGAATTTTGACAGAACATTTCTGAAAATATTTATTGCCACCAGCTAGGATTTTCTAGACTGCAAATGTGGAACAGAAGTCACACTCGGAACAATACACTCTAATCATCAGACAAATATTGTCTCTCACAAAACCATTAGGTTTAGTAATGTGGAAAAGCATTTTGCAAATTTAATGTGAAACTGAATCACAAGATTCCACCACCTGATATCCCTGTTACATGTGAGATTTTTATTCTTTTTCTTGGTTATATAACTCCCAAAACTATTCATTGTCAGAAAAGTCAAAAAAACATTTTTCACAGGTTAGATGTGAAACTGTAATACGTTTTCACCACCTAATGTCTCCTGTTACGTGAGATTTCTGTTCTTGCCTAATATTAACAGGTACGCTAGCATCCAGGGAAAAGAATTTCAATAGCAGACATCCATTTATATGTCAAAACACAATAAACAAAAAAAAAAGAATAGAAGAATACAAAATTAGTAAAAACTAATGACACTGAACAAATCAAATTTGTATTGGTGTAACTCGAACATCATAGCAAGAGCCTAAGCTGCGGTAATGAGTAATGACATTGATTCTCAATATTTGTGTCCAACAAACCCCACTTTTGCAGCAGGTCCAAATAAGAATAGTAACTTAATCACATTGAAAGTGGGTAAGAACTACTCTCTCCGTTTCAATTTGTTGGTCTGGTTTTGACTTGGACGGAGTTTAAAAAAGAAAGGAAGACACTTAAATCTTGTGATCTTAAATTAAATATACATAGAATATACCAAAATGCTTTTAATCTTGTGGTCTTAAACAAGTCATGTGGAAAGTTGGAATTAAAGTGTTACGAAAAAAGGAAAGAAACAGCTTTCTCTGAATTGACTTAAAAAAAAGTAAGACAAACAAAATTTAAAGGGAGGGAGTACTCATTTTTGTCAAACATAAATCTCTTGTACAAAACCCAGGCAACAGACAGAATGTGGACCAATAGGATTTAGAAAGAAGACACCTCACCTGGTTATATTTTGATCTAGTTTGATGAAGTTTTGAGGTAACTCCAGGGCTCAGAATACACATTTCCATGAAAGATCTGAGTCTGTCAAAAGAAACATTGCAGCTATATTTAGCAGAATGTCAACCTGACTGGAATTACCGAGTAGAATACATCAAATCAACAATATCCACGTAAAAATTGTAGAGTTCCTTTTAAATTGAACTATACCAACAAGAATCCTTTCTTCTCAAATGCGATGATTAACAAGTAGCACAAATTGATCAGAGCAAATATCCACTGACGTATGTTTAGACAGATACTGATAAAAGAGGGAAAAAATTCGAAATTCAGTTGTAAAGAGACTGTTGATGATTTCGTAAGGAAAAAGTCCTAAATAAACTGTGCACTTGGTATGATGCCAATTTGCTTAAGATTGTTTGAGATATTTAACTTCCTTTCAATTTTCTAATAAATATTTAGTCATTTAAAATTAAATTTGGGATCTAAATTAGTTGTTAATAGCTAACAAAAGGACACTACCTATTTCAATCAAGTCTTTAGCCATATGTGATACCCTATCAAATTACAGGCTGCAAGTCAACAACTAAGAAGAGTAAATTACGATCAGTATTAGAGTGTTGCTCACTCGCTCGCTTGCTGGAAAGACTGGGACTAGATTGATAGAGCACAGGGCATCTGCTCGTTAGCAATCCGCCGATTGCTACTAAGAACCTAACAGAACTTTTCCTAATTTGGGTTAAAAAACCACTTGTGTAGGTGGGGAAGAAAGAGTCTGAGGTCGGGTCGGACGACATACATCTTGGTTGGTTCCAACCATTAGCATTACAATGTAGTATTAGAAGAATTATCACACATGTTGTGCTTAACACCAATGAAGAGGTGTGTCTTGCAGGCAAATCATCAGGTCTTCAATACATCTCTTTTGTTCTCTCACAGTCACACACTCTCTTTTTCGCCATATTTCCTATCATTTAAACGCACTTTGCTGCAGAAAATTACGTCATTGCTAAGACATATTTGCATCAACTTTTAATCCTCACAGTTCTGATTTCAACTGTGCAGAACAGAGACATCTTGCCTTGACACTTATCCTAAAGGAAAATCTACAATGCCTTTTTGTGCATGATTAACTGAAAACATCACAACTGTCCTTATTTTATGGTACCAATTTTGTAAACCAAATACCAATCAGTTTTAATTGGGCAAAAGAATGGACATAAGCACAACATATATGGTTTACACAGGAAATTTTTCTACCAAGTTGAGAAGGTATAAAACAATCATTGATCTAAACTGGACTTACTTGTATGCAAGCTTCTTCAAGCTTTCATTCCAACCCTCCAGGTGCTGGTCCAAGAGAGCCTGTGTTCTAGAACTCACCTGAAACACGTCTGGCGTACCCAAAACCAGTTCTAAGATTACTACACCAACACTCCACATATCATACCTGTTAAACATAGACATAATGAGAAGCTCCACGAGACTAGTGCAGAATTAATGTTATAGAACAGTGGAGTACACTAACATAATAACAGCGCATATAACCAGAACCAAAATTCACAATTAACAAGAATTGACATACTTCATGGTGGTGGGAGTCAGCCCTTGGTACCAACTTGCATTCAAAAGAGCTTCAGGTGGAGTATATTCATAAGTTTGTTCATCTCTGTTAAAAAGAAAAGGAAAAAGAACTGAGATAAATAAAAAGAAATATCTAAGAATAAAAAAGGCGGTAGAATTCTTCAATACACTACAGAAAAATTGGTAAGGAGAAGCAAAGAGATTTTATGACCTATTAACTATACATTCCCAGCACAAAAAATCACATCATTTAGGTTATCAAAAAACTTCCCTAATGAATTCATGTTCAGCCTATACTTCCAGAAATTTTATGACCTCTTGACTATACTTCCAGATATTGTAGGAAGGCCTGCGCTTAGCCCATAAATGGTAATGCTCAGCTGGTAATCACAGTGCGTGGAAATGGACAGCTAGAAACCAAACACTAGCAAGAGTAACAGAAGAACTAGAATAAGTGATACACTCCAGAAACCATACACAACATTACGGAGAAGTGTTTTTCTTTTGGTTGGCGTGTCCCATGACATGTCATCCTTTTAGCTTTTGATATATCACCATCTTTAGATCCAACCATTTAAATTACTATGAGTATGTCCTGGATATGCTCTAAAGTAAGCAGATAACAAGGGTGAGTGGTGGAGCCAGTAATTATTGATAGTGTGTCTGTGTGGTTGTCAGTTAAATATACATGCTTAAGTAACATTCAGCCAGAAAACTGAGAGAGAGAGAGAGAGAGAGAGAGAGAGAAAGGAACATAAAGCCGTCACATGCTCCTCATCGAATATGAACATAATAGGCAAGTATATAAAGATGACCGCACCATAACTAGTGGTAGCAAATAAGGAACTCAGTAGTATTCTTAACTTAATAGTCAATATTGCAAACTGATGGTACGCAAACATGACTGTAAATGACATCTGAATTCTATATCAGGCAAATATGTACAGTCCTTTTTTCTCTTTATCCGAATTTTTAATTATACATAAGGGTGAGGGGAAGGGAAATTTGGTGAGAGGATTACAAGGGTCCTAACCAACTAACTGGGCTACCATGATTCCCAAATAAGTACATTCTTTGATCCTAATTAGAAGAGAAGTAACCACTCACAAACTAGGGTTTACAAGTAAATGCACATTACAAGTTCAAAGCACCTTGATATCATTCAGTATAATGCAAAAAGAGCTGAAATGAAAGATTCAAAAAATATAATACCTTGAAGGACCAACAGACCCATACAAGTGCTTCAGTGTGAACTCATCTACTGCACTACCGAAGTCAATAATACGCCTGAAAATCAATAAGGTCACTAAGAATAGGTTTATAAGAAAAGAAAGATTCTATAACAATTATTCATCTAATCGAACAGACTATCACTAATAATATATGCGTCAGTCCAATGAGGAACAAATATTGATGAGTAACTTCATTTAGAGTTTGTATATTCGTGCTTCCCCTTTATTCGTAGAGACTTAAATATACAACTTTAAACCTTATCAAGAAAAAAGTAGATTAACGTTCTTTCCAATCCAAAAAGTACAAGTTAAAGAGAATCCACCCCCACCCCTACCAGGCCTCATTTTCTTCTCGTCTGAGTTCACTCTTTCATATCTTCCCCAGCTCCCTCACCTCCATCCTGTCCTTTCTTTCTTCTTTATCTTGCCAGACCTCCCATTCTGAGGAAACTGCACAATATGATTAGCTTTCACTGAAACTAAAAACTCTTGAAACAAGGAAATTCCTGAAAGCAGGAAAACTGTAGTGTTACAAGATATTTGTTTAAAATTCCTGCCATCCTAAATTGTATCTATAACATCACCTATCCTTTGTATAAGTCTGTTTGCACCAAAAAAATAAAATAAAATACAAAAGGCAATTCCATTTGATCTTGTGCACTAGTTACTCAAATCCTCAAAACACCTGGAGTTCCTTTTCTTTTCAGATTGTCCACCAAATCCTTGCACGGATAATTCTCCATATACTCCTGTCTTCTGCCCGAACTCCTACTTCCTCCCAACTATGTAAAATTTCAGTGATCTTTCCAGACATTATTCAAGAGATGCCTCCAACACTGATGAAAAGTCCACAAAACTGAACTTTAGTTTTGCAGTGTAGAAATAGATGATTAACTGTCACTGCTTCCTCTCCACAAAGAAAACATCTTCAGCAAAGAGTTATCTTTCTTCTTGCCAGATTATCTTGAGTAAGGACAGCTGCTTTTGCTAATAACAAAACAAAGCAGGCTACCTTCTGTGGGATTTACGTCTTTCAAATGTGTTTACAAGACCAGTCTACAATCTGAAAGTTTACCCAGCTCATCATTTTATAAGCATTCCTCTCACCTTGAATAAGCCAGAGATGTGTTCCTTCCATCTGAGCAAATCAGTCCCCCATGAAGACCACTAAAGGATTCCAATATTTTGCAAAATTCTGTCATCCTCTGTATCTCCCAGTGATTCAGCATTCTTTTGGAAGTGATAGCACTTCCTCCATGATCTATCCTTATTTCTACCATGGTCTTATGTTGATGCACCACTAAGTTCACCAAGCTGAATATGTCTTGGGAATATTTGTTGGAGACTATAATTCCCTAGCCAGTTGTGTTTCCAAACAGAGCTCTGTTTTCCATCATTCACTTGATGAATGAGCAGTCCTGGAAAAATGGCCAGTGAGCCCTGATGGATCTCCATAGACTGACCCCCATATGGAGTGATAACCACTTTAATCATCCACTAGTCTTCCTCCCCATATTTTATCTTGATGACTCTTCCCCACAAAAGTTGGCTTTCTGGGATGAACCTCCTCAGCCATTTCATCTTCAGAGCCTTGTTTTGTAATTTCACGTTTCTGAAGGCCACCTTGCTTTTTACCTGTAGTTACTTCTTTCCAGTTGGCCTAGTGAAAGATTCTCTCCTTGTTGCCTTGTCATAAAAAGGACCTTCAGATACTACCCAATTTCCAGTCATTTTTAGCATGTGATCACAAAATTGCTTGACGGCTGACTGCTTTTACGGAAAAAGAATGGGAATTTCAGCTTAGGAGAGACTTAAATGATTGGGGACTGGGTGAAGCTAGTGCTTTTTTGCAGAAAATGCAGACAATAATTATTTGAAGAAAGCACGGAAGACACTTGGGTTTAATTGGAAAATAACATGGGAAGAGATATGGTGAATCCTGGCTATTGATGGTTACAAGATCAGTATCTTGATTCCGAGACATTCTGACCATGGAAATTGTTGTGGAAACTAAGGCCCCAAGCAAAGTTGCATGTTTGGGGTGGGTTGTAGCTTAGCATGCTTGCTTGACCCAGGATAATTTGCAGAAAAAGGGATTCAGTATAGATGCTTCTTGTGTGAATTCGCTGCAGAATCTCTTAATCATCTGCTGATATATTGCAATAAAACCTGGCAGATCTGTTCTGGGTGATGCCACAAAGCTTTGAGGAATTACTGAACTGTTGGCGAGGACAAAATGTAAAGAGAAAACTCAAGAACAATTGGAAAGTATGCAGGAGAGGAAGAAAAGATGTTATGGAGGAACAAAGGAAATGAATAAATTTGTAAAATTTAAATGTTTCCAGAACCTGTTCTGATTTCATGGACCTGTTAGATCACTTAGATGCTGTTTTTGTGTAGGTCCTGATCAAGTACACAATATTTGTCATCTGTACTGTACCTTCTAGGTACTGATTTCCTTAACTAAATTACTTTACTAAGACTTAAAACTTTTTGAAAGGAGGTGTTAGAAGTAAAGTGTTCTCTTTGTTAGAATGTTAACGTCAAATTTACTAACAAACCTCATATTTTTGAAGCATCTACGTCCTTTCTTACTAATACTCTTGATAGAGATACGAATGGAACTGACTCACTTAGATCAGTTCCTTTTTGTATGAATGATCCTTATTATAAATAAAATTCTTCCGCTATAAGCAGTAAAAAATATGTGTATTGTGTTTGGACCAAAAAATAGTCTTGTATTCAGTGGATCATCAAGTCCTCAATATATATCTTCTCTTCCTTTGTCTTTTACACAGGAGGAAATATTTAATCACTAAATTAAGAAATTCATAGGAGGAAACAAGACCACATTGTCGTCACAGAGATTAGTTTCATGAAATCCCTGGAAAATAAGAGTTACATTTTCCGTATGGATAACTTTCCGACACTTGATGAAGTATCAAGAGATGGAATCCACAGGACTCTAATAAAACAGCTATGATGCAACGAGGTTTACACCAAACACAGGGGCACATTTGAGATCACTCGAGAATCCATTTAAACATCAAACAGCATTAAGCAGTTGTCTATAATGTAGAAGACAACTCAACACAAAAGCTGTGGAAATAATAGAAACAGTATTTAGCCGTTATCTATAAAGTAGAAGACAACTCAACATAACAGATGTGGAAGTAAAAGATAATTGACGTACATTTTAGTTATATAATTCTCATCTTCATTCGGATATCCTTTCAAGCACCTCCCAGAATCTTGATCCTCGAAGCAAATGACCATATTCTCTTGCATATAGAATTGCAAAGAATATTAATGTAAGAATTCCATCTCTATATAAGATGGTCTCGATATATTGTACAAAGTTAATATGGAAACTCCAAATCCTTCAAAACAATGAAAATTTGACAACAGTACTTCACAAGCATAAGGATAGTGGATCCTTTAAATAAACCCTAGAAAGCTCATGAACACAGTTTCATTAAGTAAGATAAAAGAAAAAAAGAAACCAGAAACCATATATTAACATAAAATCACAGACCTTTATCTAGCATCAAAGAGAAATTAGAAGTTAAGACACGACATGCTGACAAATAAAAAATTATAATCAACAACTCAAGAGAAAACCCATATCAAACATTTTTGAAACTTATTTTCAACTAAATTAGACTGTGTTGGCACATTGAAAACATACCTTTTCTTTTTCTTACTGACACACTTATCACAGTTGCAATAAAACTGTTTCCATCTAATTCTTCAACTGGAGTCTTAACAAAAAGATCTCAGATCAAACTCTAGTTCTTCACTTTCAAGGCTCAAAGGTAACTTTCTATTGATTGATACGGATAGCTTAACTATAGGAGTTGAATGATATTGTATTAGTCTTAGAACTCATTGTATACTACCCATTCTCATGGGTTCTATATTCCTCAAGAAACATACAGAAACTTTTTCTTCTTCCTGAAACTTCCATAGTATCTGAGCCATTGCTACCTTTTTGAGGTGAGTTATCTGCCTCACACAATAGGGTTTCGTTTTAATCTAAGAGGTCGAGTTTTCTTTCTTTAGGCAAAATATAGAGTATAATCCAGGGTGTTTGTGAAGTCAAGCAAGACAAGCAAGGCACGTTGAAATAGGTCGATACTTCATCAAAGAAAAAGTTACGCACGATATCTTGAGTTTGGTCCATGTGTCATTGGCAAAGCAACTAACTTATGTTTTTACCAAAGGCCTCATCATACGGACTTTTAGTACACTAACTAGCAAGTTGGGCATGTGCACCATTTTTGCACCAACTTGAGGGAGAGCGTTGACTGATACTGGTAGCTTAATAATTATAGGAGTAGAATGATATTGCATTGATTATAACTGATTATGTGATATGGTCTTTCCTTATTTAGTCTTGGGACTCATTGTACAAGTACTCATTCTCATGGGTAACATGGTATCAGAGCAGGCAAAGGTTCTAGGAATTTCCACGTGCTTGGCCCATGAAAAAGAATCGGGCCCACACGTGAGGGGGTGTATTGAGAATATAATTACCTAAGAGAAATGTGTCAAGCACATGGAATTTCTTTTTTTGATATGGGTGACGGTGAGATTCAATCCCAGGACCTCTGCCTGCTCCGCCATGTTGAAGTGTGTAACCATCTCATCTAAAAGCTTAAGCTGTTAGAGATAGAACATTTTTATTAGTTAATTACATTCTCAATAGGTTGTATATTCATCAAGAAATATAAAGAAGTTTTTTCTTCTTCTTGAAATCCACAATCTCTTTTTAGATGACGGACTGTATCATGGCCGACTTGGCACACCTCGACTAATCCACCGGGTGTCTGATAAAGCCCACAACCTGGACAATCATGCCCAACAAGCTTGGAGAAGATGGGCTCATACTAAGTAGCTAAGATTAGAATCGTGGAATCTCCAAATTATTACTCTTTATGTCTCAACCACTCAACCGTCATCTTTGGGAATACAGGCTCAAATGTTACATAAGAACTACAGAAAAATAAAGATACACAGAGAAAAGAGTATTGTCCTTCAATTGACTTTGGTTGGCATAATTAAGAAATAAGAACATATATTTCTTATATTTCTGGTACTACCTTTACTTCACCATCTTTCCTTGTGAGTTACAGAGAGTAATACTCCAAAAGTCTTTTGCTTTGGAGCAACATCCTCCTCCTCCAACTGCAATATATCTTCTAATAACAAGGCAGTTGTTCTCATCGGTTATATTGAACTAATTCAGACAAAAGGCCAGCAGAAAAACAAATTCTTTAGTACATCAGAGTCTATATCAGCTAAATGCATACGCTGTAGTCTCCTTATATAGCCGTGAATCCTCATCGAGCTAACTTTTAGGGTTTAATTACACATAATGTCTATTTTCTCAATATAGTACCGGGGAAGGTAAAAGTCCTTGGTTTAAATCTCATTACAACCCTCTATTAAATAAATTTCACATGCTTGACCCATTAAAAGAAAAACACTCTAGCATGTGAAGGGGCATGTTGGAAGGCATAATTTTATTAAGTAAATAAAGGTTTTCCCTATTTAATAACTTTATCTTTTAAATGAGATGGTCACACAATTCAATATGCTATTGATGTCGGCTATTCAATATTGGGCCACCCATATTATGTTTCTCCATGCTCCATATATCAGGCCTTAGCATGCTGTCCGCGTTAGAATCCCACACAGTTAATTATATGGATTGTAGACTCCTTATATAGTCTTGGTCCTCCACTTGAACTAGCACTGGGGGTTGTCTTAGGCTCAAAATTCATTTTCTTAGCAGATATTATACTTAAACTGATGCAAAATGTTGTGATGTGTAATTACACTGTGTCATTGCCCGAAATCTTCATTTTAAAACACCCAGAAAGTGAGAAGGGTCTTTTCCCTGAAACCATTCAGTTTATCTCTCTTCTTTTCTTATTTTGTTGCTCAATCTGAACTTTTGCTTAACTGTGAGAAATGAGAATTCGATTGTGGCCTTAGCTATATGTAAACATCAGATAAGTAGTCTCTGCACCACTCAAAAGAAAAATGTCAGCTGTCAAAATAGAGTACATTTTCCTGTCCTTTTTTTTACCAAAATTCTTTCACTTCTTAACTGGCAAAAACAGCTGAACTTGGCTGAGACCTGATTATACACTACCCACAGGTATTCACCGATGCGTAACAGAGAAGAAGACCCTTTCCACAATAAGATGTGTGTTCTACACATAGGATCCTTCTACATACAGCATATCAGTGGATTCAAGACGGACCCAAAAAAAAAAAGCTTAGATAACACATCACTACCACACAGACAAAGCAATAATATCTTTCCTTTCTCAGATAGAAACTAGTACAGAAATTTATGTATAAATAATGAAAAACTCTCACCAGGTTTTATATCTCTATGGGTGATATTGCGATCATGACAAGACTTAAGTGACATCAACTGCATAGAACAGAAACATAGAAATGAACAGCCTAGTGAGGAAAATGGAAGATCGTCAGTCAGGATGGAAGAAGATACTTGAAGGAGCCTTTCATATAAAAAAACTGCAAGAAAAGTTAGTACGTAAACCATGATATTCTAGTTATTAGTAGTTACTTCAATTGAATATCAGGTTTTCACACAAGAAACCCAACATTCATTACTGCATGACTGGATTCCAGATGATTAAACCTGTAGCAATAATAATGGAAACAAGAATATTTTGGGGCTCTAGGTTGCCAATGTAACAACACTCAGAGAAATGTTTTTGCAAGCATGTGGAAATATTTGCAGCCACCTCTACATGGCAAAGTGTGCTCCTTAACAATCTAATCTGGAATAATAGCACCATAACTGCGTATCCTATAGAAAACGTCAATGAAAGACATGATTTACAACTAAGACAAAGGATGAAAAAGCTACACGAGATTGTGAATCAAAATCCATATGACCAAGGAACAGCATCTCAACAAGTATTTATTGCGGAGAAAGAAAAAACAATATTGAAAGAGGGATATATCATATCATGAAAATACCAATTGCCAAATCAGATTACGCATTTCTTGTCGCCCTGCTTCTGTTGTCTTCAACCATTTCCACCATTTTGATGGATGTAATATCTGAATATGCTTTATATTTTCATTTCCTCCCTCTGAATCATTTATCACTTCTTCAGCTGTATAGAGAAGCTTTGATAAGGATATCCCTTCATGGCGAAACACGAGCCATATCTCATTGGATCGAGACTCGAAAGACTCTACATATCTGGCAATGTGATTAAGGCCATCCTCAAAGGCAGTTCTCTGCATATCCTCCTTTTTACCATATACTTTGTCGAACCTCAAAGTGCCTTGCCTTTCTAGATCCGCTGATTCATATATTCCCACGGAATCATGCAGATCATGTCTTGCATTTAGCAAGAGGGAATTTGATTCTTCAGCCTGTAGTGAACCTCCAAGAACAGTATAAGCATTCAAGAAGAGTTCACCAAAATATTTCTCCCGTAGCCCACTTAAATAGACAGCAGTGCCTTTCTCTACCTGTTTACAGTTGCTAGTTTAATAAACAGAAGGACTTTGATAACCAAAAAGCAAAACTGAATACCAATCTCATTTTAATCCAACAAAACATCTTACGAGGATACTTTTAAAAATCTAGGTCTACCAGTAAACAAAACAAAATCAAAATAACCAAAGAATCAAAGTGTTAAGCTCGCCTAAAAAGGTAAGAAAACAACTAAAAACCAAGGTACAAGAAAGGCAGAAAAAGGAAACCTAAACGAATGATAAAAGAGATCACCACATACTATACACTCTAGCAAGATTCTACAGAAGAATTAGAGAAAATCTGAAACAGATGCATAAGATAGCAATACTATTCAGAAGAATCCAAACTAATGCCCAGAAAGTACTGAGACCAGATAACTTAAACAACAAACTCTGATTTACACAAGGAGATCATACATGTCGAAGAAAACTGTTTCTTTTCCTTATTTAAATTCTTCCCGCCTACAACAATGGTTATGGGCATAAAATAGTCTAGATCCACGGCAGGAAATACCATATGAGCACTATGCAGCCATCTGAGGTAACAGACAACATTGCATCACCGAAAAAGTGAGGTTCACAGCATGTACTAAATGCATTACACAGTAGATCTAGCCCTACCAAGCGACTACTATTATTCAAATCCAACAAAACTAGACATTTCAGTTCTAACTGCCAAACCAACTGCCATGATGTGAATCCAATTATCTCAGAAACTAGCCTGTTTGTCTTCTGAAAACAAACATGTTTCCAATTAGAGACATTTCTGGTTTACTAAACCATTCAAAAAATGGAACGTCCCTTTTTTTAAATAGCTTTTTTTTTTCTAAAATGGTTTTTGTTAATATACAAAGGGAAAATGTTTGCAGGTGCCTCTTCCTCATGTTTTTTTTTTTGTGCAGATGTTCTAAGACAGTATGGATAATAATGTGAGCAAGAAGGAAAAAGATGGAAGATTGTCCAGCATGCATTTGGTAGTCAATTTGGATTGTGAGGAACAAGAGGTGCTTTGAGGGACTCAGAACAACATATTCAGAATCTTAAAATGAATTATTTAGGCCTTTTTTATTTTTGGTGTGAGCAAAAACTACTAGCACAAACAGAAGATATTTGTGATGTTTTAAACTTTTTAGGCCTACCTATACCCTTCCTCAAGCCTTCAATAGGCAGCCTCTTGAACCTCCTCAATCGGGAACCCACACATCTTCTCCACATGTCTGAACTATCGCAACCTCACTTTCCACATCTAATCCTCCATGGGGGGGCATCCTACCTTGGCCAGGAACTTCATTCTCTTATCCTTCCTGGCGTGCCCACACATTCATATCAACATCCCCATCTCAATTACTCTAATCTTCGGTCTAATTACCACTCATAGAACTTACCTTCAAGTAACGGCGTCACATTCTTATCATACAAAACACCGGAAGTGAGCTCTGTTTCATCCACTCTACCCCAATACGATGTGTGCCATCCTCCTAAGTCTCCCAATCACCTTTGATAATTGACCCTAGGTACTTGGAACTAGCTTTCTTGGAGATGACCTGAGTTTCAAGCATCACTTCCACGTCCGCTTCATGGAACGCGTTACTGGACTTGCACTCTAGGTACTCAATCTTGATCCTGCTCAACTTAAAACCTTTTGACTCCACGTTCTGTCTAGACCTCCAGCCTCATTTTAATGTTGCTTTGCGTATCGTCAATAAGAACTATATCATCTGCAAATAACAAGCACCATGACACCTCCTCTTGAATGTGTCGCATAAGAGGATCCATTGCCAAGACAAATAAAAATGGGCTAAGAGTAGATCCCTAGTGCAACCCCATCAAGATTGGGAAGTGTTCCGAGTCGCCTCCCACAATCCTGACCCGGGTCTTAGCACCATCATACATATACTTAATCTACCCCGGTATGTGGAGCGGACGAGCGGGGAAACAAAAACAGGTTCGATCACACCAATAGACATTGTACCATGCTCAAGTATGCACCTTGAAATTGCAAAGCAGAATGCGACTGCTGGAGCCTGACAACATCAACTAAGTTGAATTTTCGTCTTGACTTCATATAGACTAATTCTTCCACAAAGATTATTAATGCTCGAGTCATCCATAAAGCATTACTGCTTGAGAAAAGTGGGAAAAGAGCTTGTGAAGGTCATTTACGTGGAGCGTCAAAGGTGGGAAGGGGAATATGATAAAAGAAAATTCAAATGCAAATTTTGTTGTACCTAATCAACATGAAAACCACTGTTCTTAAATTTTTGAACGCCATTAACCTCAAGAGGTAAGAATAAAAGATTAACCAGCATGATCAAATCAAATCTAAGAAATATTCTGAAGATCCAATTCCAGGATATCAAAATTACCATGATACGCTTCAAAATGAACATGCTGCTATTGGAAGGGCCATCATCACAGACATCAGCAGATGATGGGTTCCTCCTTGTTTCATTATTAGCCCCCTCATTCATGGTATAGGCTGAAAAATTGCTACCTTTTGGAGACTTGATGACATGAGAACAATTCCAATAAAAAGCTATCCAAACTTCACCATAAGATCCACGATCATATTTCTTCTTTAGAATGTACCTTGTAATATAAAATTGATTCGACATAAAAAGAAAGTATAGATCAAGTATATATCATAAGGAAAGCAAAAGATACAGATAATTTAAAATCTGCACAGAAGCTTTGGAACAAACAATACAACGAAGACATGCACAGATCAGCAATCCATACTGATCAAGCATAAAGACAAAGCAGATGAAGAATAAGCCATATATGGAGAAGTAGAAACAGAAGTATAATAACATGGAACTCATGACAACAATTTTAACAAGTTAAGAGGGTAAAAACATTTCCAATCAATCCAAATAAAATTATCTGTCAAATCACGCATCATATGATCTAATGGTGATACGTGAGCAGATTGCTGATCAAGCAAAACAATAGTAGAATCCATTAGAATATGTTAGTAAGTCCATGAACCAATGTGTCATAAGATCATTGTTAGCAGTGCAATTCATACAGAGATTGATATATGCTGCAGATCATTTTACAAGGATTATTACATAGCGGATGCAACATTAACTAACAAAACAATTCACCGAAAAGTACCTAGAATCTGCTCTGGCATGATCATTTGTACTGCTATCATTGAATGGAATAGATTCAAGCAACCCAAGGAACCTTGCAAAGCCTTCAGGATTAATGCACTGGTCGTTATTATCACTAAAGTTCATCCCAAAGTGCATGCACATGTGCTGATCATTATATAGATCTAAAGCTCCACCTACAATTAACAAGGCAAGTGGAAATTAGTTCTTATGTTTCATAGCAGCTTGGCGGATAATGGACTTCAAATGTGGTCTAGCCATTTCAGAGAAGTCAACAGCGAAATTGCAGCAGTGGAGCTTGGTAATGAAAAAATATCAAGAGAATAAGCAGACAATTAGTACAGATAACAAAGAACGAACAATCACATCGCCAAAGCACACAACTTTCACTGCTTACCTTGACCAATGCTATCAGGTAAAGCATGGAGAAGCTCATGTTCATATTCATCGATGTCCTTCTGAACCCAGAAGGTATACTCATCGTTAACATCAAGGTTCTCAGATAGGTAGAAACATCCAAAGTTGCTGTGGTTTCCTTCAACCTGAGACAAGTGGAAGAATTCTTGTAACCATTAGCATTCATGTACGAAGCAGAAATGCTTGAAGATGACTCGGCATAACAATCCAAAATTTCATCAACTTCTCAACAAATATTGATGCCCACAGTTAATGCAGATATCACATTTAAACACAGTGCTGATACAGTCAAATAGACTGAATGCAGATAGCAGGGACTGTAGAGGTTATCATTTCATTCACTTTGTAGGTAAAGAAACTAAAGACTAATACTTATCCCAAGTAATGAGCTCAAGAATGGTCGATATTCAAATGAACAGACAAAGATATCAGTCTTCATTTTGAAAGAAGATCATAACCAAGATAGAGAGAAAAAACACAACAGAAACTTCTCATCATGACAATGATAAAGGAAATTTTTTGCAAGAGTTATATTCTTTTAGGTAAGACAGAGCAATCAAGATCTTTGGAAATCTAATTTTTTCAATAGGGGAATTGATTTGGAACATATAGTTTCTCATTTCGTCGTGGGCTTCACGTTCTTTCCATCTAACTATAGTATCCAGTATCATTGAAAAAACCTAGATGATTCTCTTTTCGTTTGCCTCAGCATTGAAACAAACACTATGCAACACCTGTTTAGGTGATATTAGTAGCAAAATCTTCTTTCTTCAATGCATTAACAGGGATGACAGCATTAGCAGGATAGATCATGCAGCACTGTAGATGAGTGAGTGTACATATGAGCTGTCTAACAAATCTTTTTTTGATCCATGGATTTGTTTAATTCGCTATAGTTCTTGAAATGAAAATGCCCCTATGTTCGCAGAAGATCCCTCCAACCCATTCCTTCCCCTGCTCTTTCACCCCATTGACGAAAAATACTGCACTATGCCTCTCAGGCACAGCATTAAGTTGGACTATTGATAGCTGAACTAGCAAACTGTCGCGAAATGTCCAGCCAGACACCCAACAAGCAATTTGTAATACTACATCATATAGGAGAAGTAAATGCATCAATTACAAGAAAGTATCCTCAGCTCCCAGCCCCAAAATCAAGAGGATCCAGTAGCAAATAGGAAACATCAACCCAGCTGCTAGCAGTCTTACCAATAATCTGCCAAAATTGGAATCAAGTGGATGATCATCCTCCTCGCTAAACACTGCAATAGTCCTAAATAAGATGAGCCAAGTCCAAGACAATCACACTATGAAATAAAGATATGAAGGATCGTAATTGTGAGTAAAAGGCTACCTTGAGATAAACGCATAAAAAAATAGAGATTTACAATATTATTATATCATTATTATTTTATTTTATTAGAGATCTACAATATGAATGTCTTTTCAGAATTGTGCACCAAGGAAATCTATAATCAAGTCAAGAATACAATAATGGATGATTCACCATATACAAACTCAATTCAGCTAACTAAATTTTGCAGCTCAACCTACAAATTTAGAGGAAGAAAACCACAAAACAATGTTGAGAAGTAATTTCATCTTTACTCCAAAAGATGAAGTTAACACTCTAAGCTAAATCAATGGTGGGGTTTCTCTATTAAATAAAGGGAAATAAAACGAGTATGATCCTTGAGAAACTGATATAATGAATATGCAGGAACAAGAAGCACCAAAGTCAGGAAATTATCAACTCCATGACTAAATTTTGAAAATATAATCCAATGCATAAATCCCCCTTTTAAAAATAGTGCCACATTTGAGCTCTCTTTTACATGTTATCCATTGTTTCACACACTCTTAGGTCTCATTTTTTTCACTTATGGAGTTTTGAATTTGAATCATCCAAATCTCAGTTCATTAAATGAATTTTTTGTCTGATCTACTCAGATCTTTTACATAGATTTAAAATCATTGAAGTGTAGAGAAAATGATTCTTGTGAATGGGAATTTCTATTGCTAATTTATCTATTACCACCACGGTACCACCATTAACCTCCATTGTACAATCACAGTTGTTAGATAGTGTTTATAATAATATATTAATTTAGTTGTTGAGCGTCCTTCCCAGTGACTGTTCAGATCTTATTTGAAGCATTCCTCTTCTGGGTAAGTGTTGTGTGAAAACCAACACTATCTTTGGGTTACTCAGGCTCCGGCAACAAAATCCCAGCCAGCCCCACTGGAATACTATTCCTCACACACTTTCATGCACCAAACAGAGGGACAATCTTCTGAAGAGCATTTTTTTTGTTGTAGTGCGATGTTGGAGCAGCTCCTCAGGAAAAAGGAATACTTCATGATAGGGACAAGCCATTTTTTGGCATTGAATCCGCTTCAGAAGAACAAGTTGTTCCGATTCTGGGGAAAAGATTCATCTTCCATATTTCCCATATAATGGCCCGGCGCGTGAATTCGTCTTGTGTTTCCGTACCCATCCATACCATTTTTTATAATTCCGACCACTTTCACTTTCCCAATGAGTTTTTCAGTGAGTCCCAATAGTGTTGCGACCAGAATTTTCCTGCTATGTTCATTGTGAGAATCTGACCTGACCTATCTCGATTCTAACCACCTTCAATACCACTAGCAGCTTTCCCACCAATTTCACAAATTCCAAAATCTTATTTTTCTGGAAATCCTGTACTGAGGCTCCCCTGAAGCTATTGCTTACAATCTTCGGTTAAGTTGCAGTGCAAAGGTCAAGGTATTCAAGATTACTTAATCACAAAGGCGATGAAAAAGCCCATGTACAGTTGAAGAAGGTTGAAGCTCAACTATGTTGTCTCCTGTGGAGATCACCTTTTTCATCCATTCCAGACATATTATTCAATTTGGAAAAAGGTTCACACTAGATACAATCATAACAAATCTCGTTTTATGATGTGATATCTCGAATGACAAACTTAAATGATTAGGAATTGGATACTCTACTTACTTGGGACAAGTACAGGCAGTCGTGCAGGAATTCGATAAGCTGATACCAGTTACTGCAAGTGTTGAAAAACAACAAAAACAACGTCAAAAGATGTTTCTAGTTCTCTAAAACTTGTTAGACTTTCTAATGACCTTGATTCAGTACATGACCAGATTTTGGCCTGTCCAACTGTTCTATAGTTGATGAAGAATTTTCTCAATTGCTTCATCTTGTTGCAGCACCCAGTCACATAGTAATCTCATCACAAGTAGTAGATTCCTTTGTTCTCGCATATCAGACAATGGAAACTCTCGACCCAAGTAAAGTTATTGTTGTAGACTTGGCCACACACGTAAAGTATCTTATACTCTGCATGGTCAACCACCCAAAAATGCACAGTTGCTCAAACTGACACACAAGTAATAAGGGTTTTCTTTATCTAAAGGGGAATATAATGAGTTCCTTTATTATAGAGCAAGTAAGCAAACATTTCCATAAGTAGCCTTTGTTGCTCAGAATGATACTTTATTTGTTGGTCATTCTTTTGCTTGTGTTTCACAATCTAGTACTCTTGGACCGTTGTTGTGGACTCGGACACTTTAGATCATATTTTTGGCAAATATTGTTTATTCAGTAATAGATCACCACGCTGCATACTATGTTTCAGTAAATGGTAATTTTGGTATCTTGGAAACACAAAAAATATAGTGTTGTTGCTCGATCTAGTGCAGAAGTAGAACATCGAGCAATGACTATGGTAATTTTGGTATCTTGGAAACACAAAAAATATAGTGTTGTTGCTCGATCTAGTGCAGAAGTAGAACATCGAGCAATGACTATGGGAACAAGTGAGCTAATTTGGATCAACCTCAGAGAATTAAAATTTGGAGAAGTTAGTCAGATGGAACTTGTGTGTGATAATCAAGTTTCCCTTCATATTTCATCAAGTCTGGTATTCCATCAGAGGACTAAGCACATTGAGGCAGAATGTCACTTTGTCAAATAAAAGATATTCTTTGGAAATATTGTTGTTTTTTAAAAAAAATTGGTAAACTGTATTCCCCAGCATCAAGGGTATGCTGGCAACCTCCAAAAAGTTGCAAAGTTCCTAACAAGTCAAGTTAATCCATATCCTTTATACGAGTTATACAGATACAATGCATTTCCATTTAACTTTCTGATTGGAATTGGATCTGTTTTCAAAGCGTCCATCATCTCTATCCTCTTTTACTTCTCCCTTTCTGATCCAGCGGCTTAGAAAATCAGTTGTATGTTCAGGCATGATCCACCTAGTATTGTGGAGGTTGAGAAGAAGTGTCCGCAGTGGAGTAGTGAAGTTGCAATGTAGGAACAAATTCCTCTGTTTTGTTACCGAGAAAACACCTTGACACCAGCTGCATTCCTTTCTTCTGTAGCACTTCTTGTGTAAGACAAGCTCTCAATACCACCAGCCATGTGAAACATTTCACCTTGGTAGGAGAAAGACTTTTCCAGATACAACTACATGGGAACTGAAATCTCCCAACTTGGTCAGTCATCTTCTTTTTGTATGCACTTTAAACTGTATAACATCCATCCTTGCTATGCTCCCAGATAATTGTCTGAGTCAGTTGTGATGCCCTAAAAAGTCGTTAGTTTCCAGAAGAGATGTCACCCTGTGTTCTTCCCAATCATTCATAAGCCTCTTAAAAGACAGATCCCACCCCTGGGGTTACCAACATTCAATTCACTTTTGCTTCAGGATTGTTGCACTAAGTGAACACATCTGGGAAAAAAATCCATGAGAGGGATTCGATCAGTCCAAGCTTCTTTCCAGAATTGGATCTCATTCCCAGCTCCAACCTTTAGTCTCAGATTTCTTTCATCAGAGGCCAAAGATTCCTTATAGCTCTCTCCAAACTCCAACCCCTAAGGTGCTGAAACAATTTTTGTCCACCAAGGATTCGTTTCACCGAATTTTGCCTTATTAACCTCCTTCCATAGAGCATGTTCCTCACCATTGTATCTCCATAGCCATTTCATCATTAGACAATTATTATGTATACTTAAGTTTATGATTCCCAAATCACCCCTCTTCTTGTTCAATAATATGTTCCCCACTCACCAACTTGTAGCCACTTCCTTCTTTACATACTTCCCATAGGAAAAGTCCTCCTTAGTTTGTCCAGTTTTTTGACAATCTTGGAGGGTAATAGAAAAAAGTGAATCACATATGCGGGAAGAGAGTCTAGCACAGATTTAATCAAAGTGAGTCTACACCGAAAAGAAAAATATTGGGTTTCCCATCTAGCTAACTTTTTCTCTGTTTTCTCCATTATACCATCCTGTATCTCTACTGCTTGGTGCTTATTTTCCAATGGCATGCCTAGATAAGTTGTTGGCAGATTCTCCACTTTGCATCCCAAAATATTTGCCAATTCTCAAATATGTGAGACTGCCTTAATGGGAATTAAACTGCTCTTACCCAAATTAACTCGTATTTGGAGATATTGTTACACAACACCACGACTAACATCTTCGCCACCAGTCACCACCTCGACCATCGGCCACCACCATCGCTAACAAGTTGTTAACAACAACATCCACCACACAACCACCAATATCAACAACCTCTATTGTAAATCATCACCAATAGCCATCATCCCACAGTTGTCACCATTGTCCACCATCACAACTGCCATCAGCTACCATGACACAATTACTACTGCCAATCCACTAACCACAATTATGAAATATCATCACTGACCCACTGTCACCAACTATCACAATCACTAGCTTTTGGATTGTATTTTATCACATAAGCAGTTTCCACAATATAATGTAAATTAATATTTTTTTCTAATTGTTTGGATACGAGATTTAATTCTTCATTTATTTGAATTTTATATTGATTAATTTTTAAATAAAGATTCTATTAAACAAATTTAGATTTTGCTACAAACTGTTTTAATTATTCCATGTGGTCTCACGAGTAAGAAGATGGAGAGCACTCATATTTACCTGAATGTTGAGAAATATAATTACTATCTCCTGAAGATAACCAATCGAAATTTTTCATTCCTGCATGGGGTTTCTTCACAACTGCCTGCATTAAATCATTCAATCTAACTGGAAGGATAACAGCTGCCATGTTATCCATACTACCCTTTTCAAAAGCAGCATTCACTATGCAGTCAGCTAAGGAGTATGAACATGAATAAGCGAGTTTTGATTGCACAGCGAAATCAGCGTGTAAATTCCATAATATGTCACAAATATCCTGTGAGCTAAGCTTTTCAAAAACGCCATCAGATGCTGCCACCAAATAGCAGTCGTTGTCTGTCAAAGGTTGCCAATCAGTGACTTCAGGAGCAGATATAACACCATAACTGATAAAACATCAAGAAATTGATTAGTCATATCTCAAGTTAAAATAAGTCTCTTGAAATTTCTTAGTTTACTAGCACTGTACAGGAAAAATACAGTGGATGTATCAGTGCATGTCTTCGAGTTCAACAGTTAAATACACAGATCAATCAAAGAATGCATCCAACTTCACCAATTAAGATGAACAAAAAATTATGCATGCATCCAAGTCCAACACAAATCTGCAGATAAGCAATGGTGAGAATGTATTTACAAAGATCTTCCTGCAAAATGTTAACTTACCTTTTAAAATAAACATCACCTATTGCTCTAGAAACAGCCAATTGACCATTAACCCTAGCTACGCCACCCCACTTAGAAACATGTCCTCCTGCAGTCTCCACTCGAGACCTCTCATCATCCCTATCTGGATGGTGGTCTCTAGTCAGTTCCTTAGCAATCAGAAAAGGCCACTGGTCAGGAGCTGCCAACTTGAAGCTTCGGAAGTTCTTCACAGGTTCGAAAATTCCAAAGCCTCTTGTTTGCCTATACAACCTCAATAAATTAGCTGCAAGCAAAAGAGGATTAAGATAACTATCTCCGCTAACAGTCCACACACTGAAAGAGCCCACCACAATGGCCTTGATCTAAATTTAGAGGCACTCCATTGCTCACTGAGCAACTCATACATTATCTAAAATACGACATTATATATAACATATGAGTATAGAGCATGAAGATTATTACTAAACATAGAGCCCAAAAGAAGGACTTTTCTAACCTTTAGTCTCTTCTTGAGATTTAAATTCTTCAGAGCATAAAAATGCCTTTGAATCTCCAATATTGGCAACTAAAATTTGATTTTCTGCCATAAGAATAACTGTGGCGGTAGAGCCAGAACCAAAATTATGTCTAGAAGCATCCTTCAAAATCAGACAAGTTTAAAGTAAGACAAATAATAATAAAGATTTGACTCTGATTGACCTAACAAAAAAGATACAACTTATGAGATTACCCTTGAAAATGTAGAGTCAATATCATCAATTGCCCTTAGCAATGCTTCCCTCAATAATTCCAAATGAAAAGATCGATCAATGATTGATGAAACAGTAAGCTTGAGCCTACGAGAAAAAATTACAGCTTTCCTTATATAAGTACATCATGAAATTCGTTTGGACAATACGAGATGCCATTGGATTAGTAAATACAGATGATGAAACCCTATAATAGCAAATAAAATCAAAAAGTAGACTATAGATTAAAATATCAATTTAAAGGATCATTCGAGTTTAGACTTAAACTTACACATATAATAAAGTACGATTATTCTACCTGCTTTGAGGGTTTTTTTTGAGCTAAGGGTCTATCAGAAACCACCACTCTACCTCCCAAGGTAGGGGTAAGGTTTACATCCACTCTACCCTCCCAGAGGATTACACGGGTATGTTGTTATTGTATATAATAAATAAAATTATTCCCCTTTGACACAGTAATATTGAGAATCTAAGCAAGGATCATCTACTCTCACTGCCATGTTCCTGTATGCAGAATTAAACTAGCAATGCTGCAGCAGCCATTAAGAAACTCCATAAAAGGAATCAGGAACTTCTGCTCATCTTTTGTCAAGCCTTGGATATAATCAACAAAGGTGCCCTACTTTTTTCTATGTTTTTGTTTACTTGTTTAGTGAGTTTTCTTTAGAATAGCGGAGAAGTGGGGCAATCCATAGAATTTCTTAAAAGTATGTTTGTTGGTTTTTGTGTGTTACCATGAAAAAGGGAGACATATCACCTTACAAACTACTTTCCCATGTTTCAATGTCTCATAAATTGATAAGAGTTATTTTAGTAAAAATATATATATGCGTTCAAGAGGACGACGAAAAAGCACAGAGTGTAGGTATGTAGAAGACACCTCCCAACGTTCAACTCATCCAGCTCCCAATTCAGGTCACGCAGAGTACTATGTCCTATTTCATTTGGCAAAAGCCCAATCAGTTTCCTTGAAAGAGCTGAAAATGTTGCATCAAGAAGAAAAAATGTATGCAATGTGAAATACTGTAGCAATAGCTTTGATGCCATTTCACTTGCTTCATCGCCATTATGACCATCAAAAACTGCGACAACACCAACAGTAACCTCAGTAATACCATCACTACCTGCATAATATAAGAAAATTTTAGAGAAAATAGTAAACCATCAGGAGAAGTAAGAACATATGTCTGAGAAATAAAGACTCGGGAAATTATTACTAAATTATGTATTCCACATTATTACACCGTACCCTATTTATACACACTACATTACAATCTTTCTCCACGTAGGACAGAATATACAATCGTATTCCTATTCGTATGGTAACACTCCCAGCTAGTGCATGCAAGTCCATGTAACAAACTTATTCCAGAGTACCAATGGGAGACTTAGTGAAAATATTTGCAAATTAATCGATTGACTTAACAAATTTTGTAACAATACCACCGAGAAGATCTTTTCTCTGACAAAATGACAGTCAATCTCAATGTACTTAGTCCTCTCATAAAATACCAGATTTGATGTGATAGGAAGGACCACTTGGTTATCATACTCACACACAAGTTCCCCTCAAATTTTAGTTCTCTGAGCAACTGTTTATTCCAAACTAGCTCAAAGTTCCCTGATGTCATAGCTCGAAATTCTACTTCAACACTAGATCGAGAAACCACACTATGTTTCTTACTCTTCCAAGACACCAAATTACCTCCAACTAAAACACAATATCCGAATATAGAACGTCTATCAAAAGGTGCCCAATCAACATTTGTATATCCGATGATCTGCTTATGGCCTTGATCCTCGAAGAGTAGTCTTTTACCTGGAGTTGACATTATATCGGAAAATGCAAACACTAGATCTTTATGACTATAACAAAGAGAATCCATAAACTGACTCACAGCACTCACAGGAAATGAAATGTCAAATTTAGTCACAGTGAGATAATTTAACTTACCAACCACCCGTCTATATCTTCCGGTATCACTGAGTGGTTCCCTTGTACAGGCATGAGTTTAGCACTCAAAACCACATGGGCATCAACGGGTCTACATCCCATGACACAAAACTTTTCAAGAATGTCTAAGGCATACTTTCTTTGAGAAATAAAATTACTTGATCTGGACTGAGTAACCTTAATTCGAAAAAAAATACTTCAACCTACTGAGGTACTTAGTCTAAGAATGTTGAAAGAGATGTTGCTTTGTCGGTGATAACAATATCATCAACATAAGCCACCTAACAAATACACAAATTTAATGTGGAATGCAATAAAACACAAAATAATCAACTTCACTGTGACTCATGCCAAACTCCAATATGAAGCAAACATCTATTCAATCATAGCCTGCTTGCATCTTGGATGTGGAAGTGCTTCACGTCTTTGGGGCTTAGGGATGAAATAGAGGACAAAATGATATAAACGCATAATTGGGTGATGATCGACAATAACTTTAAAAGGTATAATGGAGGTTGGTATTACGAGTGGATCTTAAACATTATTGAAATGCATTCGATTGACTAGGAGGAGACAAATCCGCAGTAGGTGCACGGTCCGACACGTGACATGAATCATTTGGTCCTAAAGTTGGATGAGAATGACGATAATAATGTCAAGAATGGCACTATGACTAGAAATGTAAAAGTGACCGTAGATTCCTCAAAAGTCTGAATAGGTAAGACCTCAAAAATATAATAATGATAGGAAGAAGATGTAAATTAAGGCCGAAACTCAAAATATTTGACATTGGTTGACTTGAGGTACTGAAGAATGTGCAAGTAGCAAAAATAACCATTTTGAACACCAAGAATAACCAAGGAAAAAACATTTGATAGCACTTGGGGCTAATTGATCTTTTCCCGAGGCTAAGCAATGAACAAGGCATGTTCCTAAAGAAACGAGGAGAAAGAAAGCATAGAGATGATTGAGAAAACAATACAGAATAAAGCATTTGATTCTTAATGGGAAATTAGGATATTTGAATAGTTAAATAGCAAGATGTGAGGACTCCATCGTTCCAAAATTGTAGTAGAACATCGAATTCAATTAGAAGAGCATGAGCAGTCTCAATGAAATATCTATTCTTCCTTTTTACTACCCCTTTCTACTGAGGGGTATGCGGATAAAATGTCTGATGAATAATACCTTGGTGAGTCGTAAACTACTAACACCGGAGGATAAGTATTCTAAGACATTATTATACACAAAGTATGAATAAGATACACCAAATTGGTTTTGCCTTTCAACACAAAAACTCTTGAACAAAGAAAATAACTTGGAACAGTCTTCCACATTGAAAATCCAAGTACATCTTGAACAATCAATAATGAAACTAACAGATCAAAAATATTCTAAGTTTGAACAAACTCTACTAGGACCCTAAATATCATAATGAACTAATGAAAAAACAAACTTTGCAAGACTCTCAGCACTAAGTGGAAAGGTAGTGCAGTTTGGTTTCCAAATTAATGCGACTCACAATCTAATGTAGATAGAGTGCACAAAATAGGCACTATCTTTGGTAACTAAAAAAAGCTTTAGATATCCAAATGTATGTGTTCGAATATGAATAGGTTTATACAAACCTATTAGAATAGGAATAGTTTATACAATACTATTAAAATAGGAATAGGTTTATATGATCCTATTAAAATAGGAATAGGACTACCAAAATAGTATCCTATTTGGTAAAGGATTGTGTTCTATGGTCTATAAATAGGATATCATGTAATAATGTAGATACAACAACGATTCAATAATATTATTTTTCTATATTTCTTACATGGTATTAGAGCCTCTACGATCTTGGTAAACAATCAAAGAGCTTCCGCTGTCGGCGGGCGGCAGTTACTCATACATGCCGCCTGTCCGGCTAATGATTATGTTAGCAAAAGTTAGGTCACTTGAGAACTTCAAGTCACCGGTGTCAAATTCCGGTGGCAACGGTGGGACTGATTTGCGTCATCTTTCGTTCTAAAGGTGTTGTGCAAAAGACAACACCGTCACGAGGCTCAGGCGACCAAACCCCAACCTAACCCACCGGAAAGTATCCCTCCACGTACCCTCACGCGCCGATCGGAGGCGAAAATTTTCCAGCGAGATCTGTACACGCGCCGGCGCGTGAGGGGTTTTCCGATCTTTTTTTTTCTCAATATTTTTCTTATGTTGAGGTCGTCCAGTACTTCCGACAAGAACCCGACCATTTTTCTTTAGATTCGATCACCGAAATTAGGGTTCCGATGATTTTTGGGCCGTTTACGGCAAGATTCCGGCGAAATCAAAATTTTCAGGCTACTGTGGGCAGATTCCGACAGCATGATACATCTTTCCATTGATGTTGATATTGATCATGGCTGGTGGAAACTTTAGTGCTGCTGATGAAGGAGGTTCAGAGTACCCAGGGAAGTTGACAAGTTATGTGGCAATCACTTGTATCATGGCAGCAATTGGAGGGTTGATCTTTGGTTACGACATTGAAATTTCAGGGAGAGTTACTTCTATGGATCTTGTTCTCAAATTCTTCTTCCCTTTGTCGCTTCTTTTGTCAATAAGAAACATGGCAGAAAAGTGACAATGTTCCTTGGAGGTCTCTTCTTCTTGCTTGGTGCCCTTCTTAATGTTGTTGTTGTCCACATTAGCATACTCATCTTGGGTCGTATCCTTCTTGGAGTTGGAGTCAGATTTGCTAATCAATCAGTACCAATTTATTTATCTGAAATTGCTCCCTACAAGTACATGGGTACATTCAATGTTCTCTTCCAATTGGTCATCACAATTGGGATCTTGATTGCTAATGTCGTCAAAAGTTGGGTCACCGTGTATATTTGCGGAGACTACTTTCTTATATTTAATTTTGTAGCACCGTCCCATCATTCCGGTGACTACTTTTTCATATTAAATCTGTGTAGCACTGTACCATCATTCCAGTGACTACTTTTTCATATTTAATTTTGTAGTACCGTCCCATCATTCCGGTGACTACTTTTTCATATTAAATTTGTGTAGCACTGTACCATCATTCCAGTGATTACTTTTTTTTCATATTTAATTTTGTAGCACCGTCCACTCATTCCGGTGACTACTTTTTCATATTTAATTTTGTAGCACCGTCCCATCTTTTCGGTGACTACCTTTTTTTGCATATCTGATTTTCGTAGCACCGTGCATCTCCCGGACTACTTTTCATATTGAATTTGTGTAGTACCGTAAATTTTTTTTCGAACTATTTTCTTATATCTGAGTTGCATAACATCATGTGTCTTTTCAATAACTTAGATTTGATTTGCATAATTCCACTCGTCTTTTCCGGTGACTCCTCAAATCTGATTTGCGTAGCGTTGTGCCATCATTCCAATCCTCCTAAATAATTTCTCTTTTTCATTAGGGTCGTGCCATCATTCCGACCCTGCCCATATTATTTCTCTTTTTTTGTCAATGGGGTCGTTCCATCAATTTGAACCATCAATTTGAACTATCTATTTGAAGTTTGATAAACACACAAAAGAGGCTTTCTTTTCTTGATAATTAACACAAACTTCCCCTGATACCTTTTTCTTTATTTCACCAATTTTTCTGTCATTCATAATTTTGCTTTATATGCTCAACTGATACAATCTAAGACAGAAATAAGTAGTAACATTTTAAAATGTGAGTTTCTATGCCATTAAACTGAAAATTGGATTGATCAAAAAATAACAATTCATATAATAGTTTCACAGATAAAGTAATGTGAAGTATTAGTAAACAAAAAATCTACCAGTAGAAATAGAAAACTTACTGGGGAAAGGGATGTGAATATCGAGAGCACATAGAATTCGATCTTCTTGAGACTTGCGGCGACCTTGATGCAAGGCAGTTTGGCACCTAGCATTCGGCAATTTCGACCATTGCTCAGAACCATATTCTGGTAGCTTCCAGCGAGGGCATTTAGGAGATTTAAACACGGCAGGTGCACCACCTTCTTTATATACCGTCAAACATTTCGATGATTCTCCGTAAGTACATCTACTCACGCAAAGAACAAACCCTAACACAAACCCTAGAAATTCGCATAAATTCATCCTCTTCTCCAGTATGTCATCATTCTCTGATCATTGGGAATTGAAATTGCAGATCCTGTAGAAATTGAGAGTAATTGGGCGGTGAATTTGAAAAGACCATGCTTTATAGGGACTGCTGTTTTTTCTGTCGGAACAAACCGAAAAAGAGTAATCTAGAGGAGAAGTATGTAGAATTTGCACTTAGGAGCCATTTTTAGTTTTACTAATTTATTTAAAATCTAGCCATTTAAAGTGATTAACTTAATTTTTAAGAGTTTAGAGTCAAAAAGGCAAAAAAAATTGAGCAAAAATTCCAAAATTGTTGTACTAAGTGCAACTTAACAAACTAAGAGATCGTTTTGATATGATATATTAGAGAAAAGTATACGTGAAATATGTTATGTAACTTGTTTAAGTTTGATATGGTCATTTTGAAATATTTTTATAATGCACCAAAAGGTTTATATATGCCACTAAATTTTGGAAATTGGGTCAAGTATGTTATTAGTCAATAATTGACGTAATATATTTTTATTATTTTATAATTGATCCAAATATGCTCTTATTTATTATGTTTATTTGGTAAAAATTTGACACATTGTATTATAAGTGTATTAAAATATGTGATAAATGTATTATTCATCATTAAAATTTGTATTACATGTGAATAATAAATTTTTTTTGTAATAATTAGTAAAGTTGTATTATAAATAAATTAAAAATAATCAAGTGAAAAAAAATATTATTGCTATAAATGGTAAATATTTTTTTTATTATAATATATTTATGAAAGTTTCCATAAAAAAGTTTAGTCCATGGGCCGACACCGGCTGATGTCGATCGAGCCTCGAGGGCCAAGGGCTTTTATGGAGCGGGCTTATAAGCCTAGGTTTAAAAGTGCTTGAAAAATTCTATCTCAACTCTACCCCAATAACGAGTTGGGTTGGCCAGCCCTATGGATTAAGCCTATTTTGACGGCTCTATTTTTTTTAAAAAAAACTTAAATTAAACCATCTTGTAAAATTCTCGAGACTTTTATCAGGTAGATAAAGGTTCCTTATTGGAAAGTTTTTGCAATTAATGAGTAAGGATATTTAGGACAAATCTTATAATGATGGGACATATTTCACCTTAATTATTAACCGATGAATGATGATATACATAGACTATATTTCAAAGTTCCCTATTCACAAAATATAGTAGATTGATTGCACATTATAAATTGTTTTTGTGTTATTGGATATTTTAAAAAAATGTAATATAATGGTTGATAAAGTGTATTTATTCTAAAATTTATTGATACTAGGTAATTTACTTGTGCTTCATGCGGGCTAAATCTAAAATTTAGATTTAAAGGAAAACATAAATTTAGTTTTATAATGTTGACATTCAGAAGAAGAATTTAAAATCAAATGTATATAAAAATAACTATTTGGGAAGAGATCATCAAAAAGTTTAAATCGACATAAAAGCAAAAGAATTACTATTGAAGTGACGATACATAATTCTGGCAAAAAATTAATAAAATCCAAGTTAATTTTCTTAATATGAACCTTAAAATATGTATTATAAGAAGTTTCTGGTGCTTCAAAAATTTGATTGAGATTTAGTAGCATATTCCGTTTGATCTAATTCACACCATGATTTTTTTTAAAGGTATATATCTTCTTCCTAATATTGTTTATTTGTTTAGGTGGTGTCTTTTTGTAGCGCAAAGTATATAATTTCTCCTCTACATTTTCATTGCAGATGAGTAGTCAAGCAAACATTCTATGAACATATAATTCACCTTAAGATATATTTTGTGAACTCTTTCCTACCGTTAATAGGAAATTCTAAGTTATCATATCAGTGAAAAGGTTATAAATATACTGTAGACACACACAATCTTGTGATTCAACCAACTCTCATATTTAACTTCAAGTATTTATTGTGGATCACAATAAAATGACATAACATTTGATTAAATACCTCCAATACTAAAAGATATGAACGAACTTTTAGTATAGTCCTAAGGGGAATTTGGAAATTTTTTATTTTATTTTCTCGCTAATACTATGTAATAAGCAAAATGTACTGTACTTTTCCAATGTTGTAATATTTATAAAGAAATTTCATTATGATTGTGGTTAATAAGTTTATCAATATAATTGTTGTAAAATTTTGAGACCTTTCTGAATTTATAGGTCCCCTTCCATCTAATAAGAGAATCATCACGATACAAAAGGAATGAAAATAAAGCAAAAGTATGTGTCTTGTTTTCACAAGGTATTAAAAGCAAAAAATTATTAGCCTATCGGGAATAAATCTAGATTAATCGATAGCAGATATGTATAGTTTCTAAGCTCAGGGCAACCATGAATTGGACATCATCCTGCAATAAAAATTAAATTTACTCAAAATATCTTTTCTTATAAAAAAAAGCTAAATGAACTAAGTGTTACCAACTCTTTAAAAATCATTTCTTGAGTACTGTAAGACACATGGGAGTCATTTGGTAAGATGTAATAAGAAAATCTACTACATGTATCAGTTAAATACACATATGCAATATTACAAGGTGCATAACTAATATGTAGACAATTAATTTTCCTATTAAATATATAGAAAAACTATGGCATCAACAATACAATGACCGTTAATTTATGGATACGCATGAGTAAAAATAAAATCACCCTTAATATACCTAACCATCGATCTTTCTTAACAAAGATAATATCATACTTAGGTCTCATGATGAAATTCTAAAAGTATAACCGAATCTTAGAAGAATTTCTTCCTTAATTCCTTTTGACATGAGACTGCTACTCTTATTTTCTTTACTACTCTTTCTCTTTGCTTAGTTGCATGTTGAGCCAACAAAGTTTTTCCATGTCTTTTCTTGCTACTTTCAATCAATCAGGAAAAGGAAGATTGAGCAGTGACTTGGGAAATAAGATAATAATAGATAAGAAAAACACTTAGCATAACTAATGTCAACATTAGTTATACACTTTATCCAATACTATTCTTAAACACTCTACAAAAAGACCCTAGTACCTATACCGAAAGTTATTTTAACGTCTGAGGACCCAAAATACGTAAGGTCAATTTTAAGATAATTAAACAAATATGATTCAAGGATAATGCTTAAAAATCCAGGGTCAATGCTTTCTTTTGAATGTTCTTAAGATAATTGAAAAGTAGGAACTTGTATACGTTCAACAATACTGCAATTCTGTAAAATACAATAACCAAAGAATTTTTTTGACTCTAAATCTTAAGATGAATCTGAATATATATAATTTACACGGTGTAATTATCCATTTTATTGGTGATATCAACTAATCTTTAACGCAGAAAATCCTTTCCTTTAAATTATGACTATACCAAATTATGCTACATCAACTTAATTTATAGAAATAAATGAAAGCAAAATAATTAGATTAAAACATAGTGATTTGATACACCTTATTTGTAATACATATCACACGCTATGTCTCTGTTTGCTCCACTAAAATAATCTTCAAGTAAAAAACTTGAAACATCATATGACAGTCCACATTAATCTTATTCACAGTATTTATTTTCTGAGGTTTTGACCAAACTAAGCCATTATATAAAGTCATTCACCAAAATAATATGTTTTTCTAAAATTTTACAAAACTAGTATAAACGTATTCCACAGTAACGTTTTAGGATATATTTTATTTTTTAAAAGTTGATGGTGTCAGATTGATATACGTTACTCTCAGTAATGTTTTACTTCTAAAACGTTACTCATAGTAACGTTTTAGGAGT